TTTCCTCATTCTCAACTAAAAATCTGTCCGCAAGCCATTGTACATTTGCTTCGTCGAACCGATATAACTTTTTTCGTCACGACTAAGTGAAGGTAAACGACGTTTGTACGTTTTAACATCCCTAACATCCACAATTTCTGCCATCATCGTTTGACCACCTTTCGTTACGAAGTTGAGTCTGCTACTGATCACTCTCAGAATTTCTGAAGGATATGCTTCCTATGCCAAGTATAAGGTGAAGATTACGAATATCATTTTACTTATGTCACTGCTTTGAAGGATATGCTTATACTCAAAAAGCAACAGCATTTACTTCAAATTATTATAAATACAATCTGGAGGATTTCCTTCAAAATTTGCAAGTACAATGATATCCTTTGTTTTATGAATACGGCTCAATATCACGTGTCATTATCAAACATTCTCTGTCAGGTATAAACTTGATCTCAGTTGTAGTTCCTTTTTGGATGTGTTTTACCAGCGACCACCTTTGAAATTTTTACATTTTCTAAGACAACACAAAGTACGTTCACTTCAAACCGCTGTAAAAGAAATCTATTTTCCAGATCAGCTCGTACATGTGTTAATAGGTAGCGTCTAATATTTGAGCAAAGTAATATCTTTTCTGATACCAGCGCCTTATGTATGGAAGTCCAAAAACTTTTCAAAGCACTTAGTACTTTTGCATCTCAGATAGTATTTATTCTGTTATGCTTCTGGTTGCAGCTATTCGTTAAGCCTTCCTACACCCAAAAAGGTGACCTGCCATCATCAAAAGACTCCAATAGCCGTTAGGCTGTCTATCTATTCTGGATACGAAATACCCTCTAAGAACAGAAAAATAGATCATCTGTTGTTGGCCAGTGTAATTGGAAGTTTGTTTTTGAAAGTAAGGCTATGGAATTCCTCCGTGGGGAGTTTAATAATAATAATAATAATAAACGTCTTTATTAAATAATATATACAATACATGTGTATGTATATATATATATATATATAAAGTGTAACTATAGTGGCGAAGTTTAGCAATATGCTACTCTAACACTTAACCACTAAAGTTAAATATATATAACGTTTTAACAGCTAACAGAAAAAAATGCAAAATCACTTATAACCCATATGAGAACTGGAAAATGAGATATTTTGTGTGCACATACTGCTACTCTAAAAAGGTCTATGAAATATTGAGGGAAAAGTTAATATTTCAAATAACTCAACTTAACATTGTAGCGGAAACATGGTAAACTCATGGTCTTAAATTTACTGTCCAAAGAATTATATATTGCTGCAACGTTATATGAGAAACTTCGTTGGAACAGAGATGTTGTATGCTTCGGAATTCTGATAACGTGCCTGTCTCTAATAGCTCTATTGTGAATGGTGTTATTAAAAATAATTTTTTCACATAGGTATTCTGGCTTAGAATTAATTAAAATTTTATAGATAAATGTGGAAAAATGTAACTTGACCAACTGGTCAATCTTTAGCCATCTCAACTCTGCATATTTGTGAGAGACATAGTCGAACTTTCTCATGCCGAATATAAAGCGAACACAGCTGTTTTGAATCAATTGGATTCTGTGTTTAGTGATCTGATCCAAACAGGGAAAATATAGAATACTGCAGTAGTTCAAGACAGACACAACGAAGGTTTCGCAAAGTTTTTTCCTCATTTTGAAGTTTAGCAGATATCTGTTTGAATAAAGACTGCGTAAACGTGCATAGGTTTTTTGTGTCAGATTATTTACATGCTCGGTAAATCTTCGTTTTGTATCAATTTCTACACCCAATATTTTTGCGCTATTGATGAGTTCGAGCTGCTTATTGTCAATGTTCACATTTAAGAGCGAAACAACGTCGTTCCTTCTGCTGTCTGAACAAAACAATAAAATCTTGGATTTTTCCGGGTTTATGCTGAGGTTGTGATCTGCTGAATATTTGCATAGACTATCAATATCTGCTTGTAATACTTGGACAGTGCTCTGTATATCTTCTCTACCAAAACAATGCGAGAGCTGGGTGTCATCAGCGAACGATTGAATATCAGAGTTGTAAACTGATCTAGATAAGTCAAATGTATATATTAAAAACAAAAGAGCGAGTGACATCAGATGTAATACCGTTCACTGAAACACATTGAGTCCTGTTTTTAAGATAGCTTTCAAAAAAATTGATTACAACCCCATCACAACCAACAGAACGTAGCTTAGCACATAAAAGTTTATGATCTATCTTATCGAAGGCTTTAGAGTAGTCGACTGATATTAAAGCTAAACCCATTTTTTTGTCCAGAACACGAAAGATGTTGTCGCATATGTTTATTAAAGCCGATGTTGTATTATAATGTTTTCTAAATCCCGATTGATTAGGTGGGATTATCTGATGTACTTCAGTGTATGATGTAAGTTGAAGTTGTACAATCCTTTCAAGGATTTTTGACAAAATAGGTAGTAAACTGATTGGTCGAAGATCTGATAGGAGACCGGGTTTCAAAGTTTTTCCTATAGGTATTATCAGTGCTTGCTTCCAAATTTTAGGGAAGTAACCGGTTTCAAGACATAGATTGATAATGTGAACTAAGTGGAAAAATATAACGGGTAGGCTTACCTTTACCATGGTTAGCGTAAGACCATCTATTCCTTTAGCATCTGATTTAAGAGATTTAATAGTAGAATTTCTGAAGGATCAATGATTCTCTTCCGAGGCATTATTTGTACTGTAAACTGACATAAAATAGTCATTGATTTCATTTGGATCAGATAGATTATCTGGAAAAGGGGTTTTGGTCCGAGAAAGTATACTAAGTGACATATAAATCCGTACACCCAGTTTAAATGGTTTTATTTTAATAAAAGTTGGTGAATGTATTTATCTTACTTTAAATAACAAGTGAAAAAATTTTCAGCCTTATCAGTTGGACATTCCGGTTTTTATACTGCTTTTTTTCAATTCACTAACGCTCTAAAAATGAATATTTCAGCCGCAGTAAAGAATCAACGTTGGCGGATTTTGGTTCTTGACATCCTTTACGATCGGTTACGATGCCTAGAGTACGGAGACCTGTACGATTTCGTCAACTTAGTGAGTTTGATAGGGGCCGTATAGTGGGACTTCGGGAAGCTGGACTTTCTTTTCGGGCAATTGCAGTTAGAGTGCAAAGAAGTGTAGACACTGTGGTTAGGTGTTGTCAGGCATGGCTTCAAGAAGGCCGTACGCAAAGAGCAAGGGGCACTGGACGCCGCCGTAGAACAACAGACCGTGAAGATCGCCGCCTAAGATTATTGGCCTTAAGGGAACGTTTCTCCACTACCAGGTCCATTGCAAATGAATGGTTTGCAGAACACGGAAGACCTATTGGCATGCGAAGTGTTTACCGACGAATGAGAAGTTTTGGCTTGTTTTCATACCGGCCACACTGGGTCCTCCCTTTAACTCGAGAACACCGACGTAATCGCCTTGAGTGGTGCAGACAACGGTCACTCTGGGATCAGGAATGGAACAGTATTGTTTTTAGTGACGAGTCTCGATTTTGTTTAGGCATGCACGATGGTCGTGCCAGGGTTAGAAGGCGACGTGGTGAAAGGAGGAATCCACAGTTTTTTGTTGAATGTCATGTTCATCACACTGTTGGAGTTATGGTTTGGGGTGCTATAGCTTATGGTTCCAGGTCACCTTTAATCTTCATCAGAGGTAACATGAACGCGCAGCGTTATATCCACGAAGTTCTAGAACCCCATCTTTTAGCCTATCTTGACACCCTGGCAGATCCAACTTTCCAACCAGATAATGCCCGATCACATGTTGCAAGAGTCACAATAGACTTCTTTCAACATAATGATGTCACATTGTTACCATGGCCACCAAGATCTCCCGACTTATCCCCAATTGAGCACGTGTGGGATATGATGGGTAGGAGATTGCTCAATTTGCAACGTCCTCCTCAGACTCTAGAAGCACTTCGAGAGGAGTTGGTGGTTGCCTGGAATGAGATACCACAGGAGGACATTGACCACCTGATCAGAAGCATGCCTAGGCGCGTTGGAGAATGCGTAGCACATCAGGGTGCATCCACACATTATTAAAGGTCAAAGGGCTTTAAAGCAGTGCAATCATTTTGAAATTTTTATCATTTACTTATTATGCTTCATTAAGTACTTATACAAAATTTTATTAAAATAAAACCATTTAAACTGGGTGTTCGGATTTATATGTCACTTAGTATATATTAAGCTGCTTTAAGCCAATCCATACCTTTTTTTCGTCATTCTGTTCAGATAAAAACTGTAGATATGCTCTTTTCTCTTTCCTCACGTGAGTAAGCGCGTGATTTCTTTTTTGCTTATAAATATTTAGGTTTTCTACAGTTTTATTTGTTTTATATGTAGTATGGGCAATATCTCTTTCTTTAAGAACGTCACGTAGGCGGGGAGATAGCCATGGAGCAGGTGGTTTGTTTACTCTAAAAGTAGTTACAGGAGCATGTTTATTATAAACTCTCAACAGTGTATTTGTTAGGAACTCAACTTTAGCATCTATATGGTTCATAAAAAATAAGTCGTCTAAATTTGCTTAGTCACTTAGAAAATATTCTTCGTTAAGGCACTTGAAGTTCCTTACAGTTTGAAACCGTTGTTTATTTTTCAAATCAGGAATGGAGAGAGTGCACGATACCATTTTGTGGTCAGATATGCCGTTAGAATCAAGAACCAAACAGTCGGAAATAATGTCTGGTTTATTAGTAAAAACTGGATCTAATAAGGATGCTGTGTTACTTGTCACTCTTGTAGGATCACTGACAATTTGAGAAAAACCCACCATTTGAAAGCATGGAGAAAGAACGTTGTTGCCGCTCAAAATATCAACATACAGATCTCCTACAATAACAATGTTATCAAAATCGTTTGACATTAACGGTGACATGAGATCTAGAGCGCTGATGCAATCATTGAGGTTTTGTGAAGGTGGTCTATACAACACGTTTGTTTATTTTTATGCTGACCCCCGTACGTGCGAGTATGAAACATGTACTTCCAAAATGTTTCCGAAACGAGTATACGAAATAAACAGTGACAGAGTGAAGGCAATGCCGCGGAGAGAACATTTGTTTTAAGTATGTCTCTAAAAATAGGGGCAACCACCGTCGATTTTGCTGCCGTTTTCTAACGTTTTGATAGGCGGGTGCCCGGCGTTCTAGCGGAGCGAAGTGTGGGCTGGTGACAGGCAGACACAGCCACCTAGAAATCCACTATAACCAACATAACTTTTATTAGGGAGCGAGCAGATTCGCCGCCAGTTCTTCGTCAGGTACACCCGGTCACTTCACGTTCTTCTCTTCACACCCTCAACACACTACCCAGCAGCAATGGTACTTATCGCGTATCATGTTTACTTTTTTATTGTGTTTTGGTGAGACAGTGACATCTTGCTAGAAAGTGTTGATCTTGGCAGTTGTGCAAGAATCTTGATAATGCTTAAGTATCGAGTGGTTTTCTAAAATGCCAGCTTTCCAATTTAAATTGCAAAACAGGGATAGCGCTTCAAGTGTCTGTTATCTGTGACACCTATTGTTGTAGTTGTAATAGTAATACATACTTGAAATTATTGTGCGACTTGACTGTAGTTGCCTGGTTGACTTTTTGAAACGGAACTGGCAACTACAACTTTTGACGGTTCAAATTTGAATTTGTTTAGTTGTATTAAAAACTGTTTATTACCACCTCAAGTACCTGAATACAAAGTTAATCATTTATCTATTGTAACAGGATACATGCATTTAGTTTATGATACTACATTAAAAGTTTGCAAAACCTTATCCTTACGACTACGTATATTATCTAATTGAACACAGGCTTCACACATACGTAACATATTTATGAAATCAGTATTTACATCTACAAAAACAGAATAAAATTCAAAAATAACTATGATATTTATCTCAGCAATATGAGGAATAAAATAATCTGCTTATTCCTCTACTAAGGCTTGGAGATATAGGCGTAAGGGTTTAACGTATAATCACTTACCAACTTTAGTTAGAGTTAGGATGACAATACAACTTTTCTGGATACGCCTTAAAGATTTTTTTGTTTCTCACCCGTATTCTATCATTGATGATTTTTTTCAGGATAAATTACAAACATGTTCATAACTATCGGCAATTTTTACTTCTTTTTATATGTCTCGTTTTACGCCATTTGTTTGCTGATGTGTGCTTTTACTGTTTTAGCGTTTTGTATTCCTTTTTTGTGTAACCAAATGTCAAATGTTGAATGGAAAATGAAGTTGAATCTGAATCTTGGCACGTAACCTTAGCAGCAACTGGCTCAGCTATGAATCATTTTGAAAGTCAAGACGCAATGTTGTCGAAACTGGAACGTCGTGCCGGCAAAAACCGCACTTATAACTTTGAAGAGAAGTTATCACTGGCCCTTCCCATATTGTAGATGAGAGGGTATTCTAGTCACGATCAGATTACTACTGTGGAGCTCAAAACTACTGAAAGCTAGTTTCATTTCCTTAATTTGTAACGTCTTCCAGATTGCAAATATTTTTTTCAATATCTACCCACTCGTCATTTTTGGATCTGAACTTTCTGACAAACCTTTTGATGTTACTAAATGTATTAAAATTATTGAAGCTTCCACCAATTGGGTGAAAAATATTTTTGGGAAAAAGCTGTTCAATGATTGATACCAGACCGTCTCAGGTACCAAGTTTGACTTCGAAGTAGAGTCATTTATTTTAACAGTGAGTAGATCTGATCAAAAGAAATGTTTTTTTCCTTTAACATTTTTCTGGTAAAATTGAAGTAACAAAGTTATAGCTCTTTAGAAGTTTGAGTACCGCCCTGTCTCAATAATAATATTATGTGCTCGTGTTTGGCAGCAACGGATATAATCCGCCTTATCGGTTAATCGCATCGGAAACAAAAAAGCGAAAGAATTTGAAACGCTTATCACGATGTTTTTACTACAATATTATTCAGTTGTATTCAGTCAACGTGTCAGTCGGTAACGCGTGAGTGAATAGTGGTGTTTGTTGCGTGGCTCAAACGAAATAAAAAATGGCATGTGGACATGATTCTTATTTACGGGGGGGGGGTCTTTACAAAATGTTGCCGCGGCATCACGGATTTATTCGAATCGATTTCCCAATCGAGTGCAACCAACCCCTCGTGCCTTTGTTAATGTAGTACAAAAGGCTCGTGAATCAGGTGACTTAAGACCTCACAGGGGAGGGCATGCCGGTGCTCCACGACCGCACGATCAAATACAGGTCCGCACTGAAATACTTGTCGGGAGGATACTTTATAAAACAAGGTAACATTTTTTTTTAATTTTTTTTTATTTTTACACACATTTTGGTTTATCTTCCTTCTAGAATCATTATCTGAAAATTAATGACTCAACTTCAAAGTCACCCTGTATAAATAGGATGGTCTGAATTAACTTAGCTGGTTACCCGCGCCAAGTCCAAAACATTGGATTTACGAATTATTTTGTTTTATTATTCCATGAATGATTTGTCCTCTTTGAGTGTCAGGACACATCAAGCAAAATACTTCCGGTGGAAAAGTGGAACGTAACCGTCATTATGGACGACTCCATATACGAAAGGAAAGTAGAGGAAAGGATCGAAAAGGGAAATTACAAGCGACTGCGATTGGCTCCTATACCAGGAGAAAATACCTAACAAAACAGGAAAGGAGAGCACTAACACTACACTTTAGCAAGCCACCACATTGCTATGGACTGGTGAAGATTCACAAGAAAGGGATACCACTCTTATCTATAGCTAGCTCCAGGGGCTGGACAATATACAACCTGTTGCTAGTAATATAAGCATTAGAAAAAAATATAGTCAAATGTTAGGCATTCGACGCACTTCGTGGAGATAAGTCAAACATCGAACCAGAGGTTCATCTGATGAGCTTTGACAAGTCTGTACACCAAGTTCCAGTGGAAGTGGCTGCACATATAATTGAGGAAAATTTGATGAAGGACCCAATTCTCGAAGAAAGAAAAAAACCTTTACTAGAAGCCATAATGGAGCTGCCGCAATTCTGATGGCAGCACTCTGCATGAAGTGATTCAGAGTGACAAGCTGCTCTCTGCCTGTGAGCTGGAGAAGAAAAGACTAGCAGCGACTTCCCCTCTGACGAGAGACTTGGGGGTTATCACACTGCTGGGGACGCAACAATCTGGTACAGTTTAATACCTCTCAAACTCAGTACCTTGACGAACAAGAAGCGTCCTAACGCTCAGCCTGTTCCGATGGATGGCCGAGTTCCACCAAAAGGCCGATCATTTCGGCTGGTCGGAGTCCAGATCACCAAGGACTTGCTCTGGCACGAAAACATTCGGTCAATAGCGGCAGCTGCTAGAAAAAATCCAGGCTATTTGTTTAGGGCTAAGGATTACTTTTCTCCACACGATCTCATCACTCTGTACTAGGCCCAGATGAGACCTAGCTTCGAGTACTGCTCACAAGTTTAGAGTGCTGCCAGAGGAGGGCTGTCCGACTTCAGGCTACCATCCTAACCGTCCATCCAGAACTGGCCGATACGACCGCTCCTTTGTCCTTAAGGTATCGAGATTATGGAATAATCTACATGAGGAGGCTTTTTCTAGTTCTAATAACTTTAGGCAGTTCAAAATCGAATCAACAAAGTTTCTTTGTGCTCTTTACAAAAGCGTTTTTCAATAACAAGAGGAGTTTTACACTCAGGAAGATGGTCTACCGATGGAATTACCGCTGTCACTAGATGTGACATTGTTTCAGTCAATGGCCATCGCAACAGCCGCAAGAACGCTAAAACTGGGTTATAATCTGTAAGCATGGAGCAAACCACCTACATTGCTTTTTCAATCATCTCAACAACCTGAAACCCTCGATAAGTTCACAAATGAGGAGGGAGTCGGGCGGAATGGAAGAAGCACCGCATGATAAATTAGGACGACACCATCAGAAAAAAATCAAGGGAGCCGCCTATCTAATGAAAAAGGGCTACAGAAATCCCAGTGTAGAAAAAAAGCAGTGTGCCAGCTGATCATCAACACAATCAACAGCTCCAGTTGTACCTACCGGAACATGTGGGCTTTTAGACGTGTTGTCGGGGTGAGGTGGGGGCTTAAACCCAAAGAGGTATACTGGCTCTACACGACGATAGTACCTCCATCTATCTTGTACGGCTCCCTGGTCTGGTGGCCTTGCATTAGAACTGAGACAACTAAGGCCAAACTCAATAAAATTCAGCGTTTGGCCTGTATTAGTATTACAAGCGCAGTGCGAGCAACGCCATTGAGTGCAATGGAAGCTCTGTTGGATCTCCCACCGTTGGATCTGGTGATCCGCGGTGAAGCGAGAGTAGTCGCTCATCGACTGTGGAGTCAGGGCAGCTGGGCTTTCTTGAATCCTGTCAAGGGGCATTCTGCCATCTTAGTTGAATTAGAAAGGGAGGACCCCGTCCTTCTAAGCAGGGGTGATCGTATTACCCCAAAATATCGCTTCAGCCACAAGTTTATTGTGGAGTATTCAACGAGGGAGGAGTGGGACGCCGGTACACGGACGGCTCGGTCACCGAATAGGGCTCAGATGCTGGGGTCTCTGGGCCGAGAACTAGGCTATCTCTGCCTCTAGGTGGATACACCACCATTTTCCAGGCGGAAATCTTTTCGATTCTGGCTTGTGTATCTCACATTCTGGAGGAGGGTGGGCCTAGGAGAAGAATAACAACAGCCAGGCTACAATGAAAGCACTAAGTGCCTGTAAGATTACTTCGAGTCTTGTATTGCAATGCAGGGAGGCTCTGGATTGCCTCGCAGCGAGGCATCCGGTATCGTTAATATGGGTACCGGGGCACGCTGGGATAAGGGGCAATGAGACGGCGGACACTATGGCGAAAACAGGATCAGCCAGCAAGCTCGTTGGTTCTGAGCCAGCTCTAGGAGTGACCGCGCATAAAGCTAGGAGGAAAATGGAGACGTGGGTTGCAAGACGACACTCTCAGAAATGGAGAAGTATCTCCAGACATCTCCGCCAGGCACGAGAACTCATTGAAGGGCCCAGTGCTAAGGATGGACGCTTCTGCCTGTCTCTGGACAGAGCCAACCTAAGGTTGCTGGTGGCCATAACACGTTAAGGCGTCACCTGCACGTGATGGGGGTGGCTGAGGATCCCTTGTGTGAACGCTCCGGAGTAGAGGAAGAGACCTCGACGCACGTTTTGTGTCGCTATGAAGCTCTGAGCTACTATAGGGAGACTATACTGGGGTCCATTACTTTGGACCCTCAGGAGCTTGGACTCAAGGCGGTTCTCAACTTCGCTAAAAGGGCGAGGCTTGTGATTTAAGGGCCCGCTTAAGCGGCCTATCCACTGGCTCCTTATGGTGGCCGGAATGCCTCTAATTTCAAGATTCATTCATTCACCTATTGGAACATGAGTCATAAAGGACACGTGATCACCACCGATCGACCTAAAAAATTTTATAGACGATGAATATTTGGGGCATATGGGACCTCTCAGCTATTACGAGTTGCATAGAATCGAGGTTTATATCTATTCGATATCAAATTAGTTTTTACACCATCACACACAAAACTTAATGGTATCAGTTATTTTTACACGGAATATTTGTTATTAGAGGAAAATCTTTCAGACCCCGATTTCAGAGGTTGTAAACAGAAAATTCCGCAACACATGTGCTGTAACCATAAATCAGACATATGAAGACCAGATTTATATTAATATAAAACAAGCTTTGCAAAAATTAAGTCGCTATTAAGATACTGCTGTGACATATGTATGTTACGGCGCGGAGTTACAAGAATACGAGATTTTATTTTTGTTTCAATGCGAGCCAATTTATCTTCTTGAAACAAAACAGCTCCACGGTGTCAACAACTTTTACGTTTATAAAAGCCTCGGCGTTGCTTTACAGTCAACATGTATAAGTGAAATATTTTTTGACCCTCTTAGATTCACAATATTTGAGGGGTGTATGCCATTAATACGAGGGATGTCTTTTAAATTTTGCATATGGAAATAAAACAACACGGTAGGTAGTTTTAAATGACTTTATTGTTTTTCGAGCTATTCTCCAGGAAGATTAATACACATCTAAATGCGCTCGAACCAATTTTCGAAGCACTTATTCCACTCGTTTGCTGGCAGATCCAAAACGGCATTGTTGAATGCGTCAACTGCTTCTTCTGGTGACTGGAACCTTTAATCACGCAGTCTGTTTTTAATTTTCGGGAAATTGAAGAAATCTTTACGACTTGGATCGGGACTATATGGAGGATGGTCCAATAATTCCACGTTTTCTTCCGTTAAATACTGCCTTGTTTTTTGGGCTGTGTGCGAGCTTGCATTGTCTTGGTGGAGGATGATTCTTCTTTTGGGGTTGATTTTTCGAAGCTCGGTGATGACTTTTGGCAAACAAATGGTGGTATACCAATCCGCAGTAACAGCTCGTTGCTCATTAAGAGGAATTGTTACAATATGACCCGCTTTTGACACCAATGACGCGATCATCTTTTTCGAAACACTTCGAGAATGGATGACTTTTGTTGGCTTTTCTTCACCTTAGAACACCCAAACAGCCGACTGTCGTTTATTTTCTGGTTCATAACAGTAAATCTACAATTCATCGCCACTAACAATGCTGTACACATTTTTTGAGTTTCCGGAATTGAAACAGTCAAGCGTTTTATGACACCAATTAACCCTGGCTGCTTTCTGCTCTTCAGTCAACAGATGGGGTATCCAACGAGAAACTAATTTTCTTACTCCTAATTCTTCATGTAAAATTTTTTGAATTGAGGTCTTTGAGATCTTCAAGGACGCCTCAATCTCGCGATATGTCACATGTCTATTTTCAGTGATGAGTTTGCGCACAGCATCGACGTTTTCCTGGGTGGCTGTCGTTTTTGGTGCACCCATCCTACGATCGTCGCTAAGACAAGCTTGAATTCTCCATACCAACGGGAAATTGTCGACTGATGTGGCGCTTCGTTGCCGAAAACAGACAGTAACTCAGCAAGGCATTCTTGTTGCGATAATTGTCTCGAAAATTGTAATAAATTATGACGCGAAAATGTTCTCGGTTGAGTTCCATTTTTCTAATGACTTGGTGACACTCACAAATTCACTGTAGTGAGAACACTGCACGTATTGCTGTGAAACTTTGAATTTAAGTTTACTAAAGAGTGAGGTTAAGATTATATGCAAAACTTAAAAGTATTTTTAAATACATTGCTGGATTCAGAATTTAGAATCCTGTCCACATTTTAAAAATCCAATGAGGCGTCCATAAGGCAACATACAGTTAAAGATTGAGGACAAAAGATGGAATTATAATTGCCATGTGTAGATGAGGAAAGGTTAATGTGCAATTTATGATTCGTTCTTTTGTTTTCGTCCAACTCCAGAAATAATCTGAACTGTGAAACTTTCTAAAAGTTATTTTCTTTAGTTACGTAAATAAGTAACCTTACCACCATTTAACCAAATTCATATCACTATGAAGATGCAATATATGTCACATACATACGGTAATATTTTTAGATTGGTCAGCACAAGTTTGATTTTCTGGTATACTCTCATACACTGCCTTCATGTTGTTAAACATGAGAAGGTGAGCGACAATTCTCTGCAATAATAAAGCGTAGGCTTAGATGTTTTCCTCAAGACAATGTAAGTTGCTGCGACACATACAGTTTCGTTGCCCGATTTTGTAGCCCGTCTAATGACCAATTTTGACAGAAGTATGTGTATGGACAGGTGTATCTCATCGCTGGAGCTGGCTTATTCAGTAATCAGTTGGTAGTACGGGGTCGGCAAAAAGGGTCAATGGTGGCGTAGTTGCCAGGCTTCGTCTCCCGACTTTTACCACTATCACATATGTAGCCAGGTCACATGCTACAATATGGTCATGATGACTGGGCTATATTTGCCAATGATACAGCCAAATATCGCAACAAAAATATTGTTCGTTCAGAGGCTAAATACGTTTCTTTGGGCCTTCTAGAAAAAGTGAAATGTCAGCAATCGCTTACTACTGTGTACTTTCGATTCACTGTTATGATGAATGTCAATTATAAAAGAGGAACCTTGATGTAATTTGACCTCAAATGTGCAGATGTTTTACTTCGTCATGTCAAGGCCAAAGTCTTGCATTATTTCCTTTCAAGACAAACAATCTGGTTCACTTTAGATGTCAAAGTACAATTTCTCTCAGTTAACCGGTATGTTTTGACAATAGTTTTTAGTGGGTTCTTCGTGTCCTTAGCGTTTTCGGGAAGATAATCGAGAGTGACGTGTCTGGTACATCAAAAAATGACACTTAATCTCATGCTCAATTGTCGCTTTGAGAGGCTGATGTGTTTTAGGAACGGGAATAGCTACCCTAGTCTATCCTGTACTTTACTGATCTTTGGCAGTTCCATCTTGAAATTGTAATGATGACTTGGTGCGATCTCGGCATGCTACAAAACCATTCAATCTATTGTCGCAATACGCTGTATAGGAATGAATGAAAGAAAAAATGAAACGGTAGACATACAAACAAAATGTACGGTCATTAATTGCTTGTTACCGTGGTGGCCGAAACGTCGTACAATAAACATAAATAGAACATATTTGTATATGTGGTTTGATCTGGCCAGAGTCCTATCTGATGTCATGACTACTGACTTCATGGGCTGAAATTTAGCCCAATTTATAACAATGCTTTGCTGAAAATTGCAAATGTTCAGCGGCTTAACGTTCCTATCGACCATGATATCGACTTTCAGAGTGGTAGTAGAGCATGAAAGCAGGGGGATATTAAATAGCATTTTTTACATGGATCTTATTGTACGTGATATTAAAACTAAAAAGTGTGAAATCATTGAAATTTGGTACTTATAGTCTGTTTTTGTTTTTCAGGACGAACTTCCCCCAGAGCAAATTGCCGGTAAGTACACATGGCATGACAAAGACAAAGCGATACTTTTATGCAAGTTTTTTCAAACTACTTTATTATTTTGGGAATCCCCTGGCTCTGCATTTCCATAACTTGTTCCAGCAAAAATCGTCCTTTAGCATAGTACAGGGCTATAATCAGGGAGTTTTCAAAATATGCAGTAAAAATTAAAAAATGACTATTCTGATACAATTTTATTCTTAAGCTCGCCTAGTTTGCTAACAAACAATTTTGCAGAATAACATTCAAAGGCGGATTTTTATTTTGAGTGGAAACAGTTTCTCCAAAGAATTATTATCAGTGACGTATACAGTATACAGAGATGTTCGAAATCTTAAATGGTCAACTACGCGTAAGAAAATATCGTCAAGTAGGTTGACTCTGCCCTTCCTATACAACGCTGTCATCAGAAGTATTATGTTCGACACAAGCAAAAAGTTAGCTACGAACGTATATAACAAAAATATTACCTAAGCTCGACCACTACGGAGAACGCATAATATTAACTATTTGTTGGACAAATCACAAAGTAATTGTCCGTGGTTGGCTGTTTTTTGGTCGGATGGAAAAAGCATCATGCTTAGTTTAGTTAAACAGGTTCATACAATTAAATTTGCATATGGAGCATGTTTTTTGTACAATATAAGAAAATATACCCCTTGCTCATCAAAAAGGTTTGGAGGCAAATAAGCTTTGGCGCTTTCTTGCCGATGGATGACCCTTCTCCTTCTCCTCACTCAAGCGCGGGCCATAAATCTTCATCATTTTGTTAAATTTATTATGGCTGAAATGTGTCTGAAAGTTGTATAAAATTACCGCAGCCGGAAGCGTATAGGTATACAAACGTCGAACTATAGAGATATACATTCCCCTAGCCCCAATTTTTACCCATCAAAGTTTTTTCAAAAATGAACAGGATTCGTTTTCAAAAACTATAATGCGTTTTTCTCCTAGGAATAATAGTAGCCATGTGGGAAAATTTCTTCAAAATGCAACCGGTACTTTCCAAGCTATAAAGGGGTCAAAAAATAGCAGACAGATAAACAGACAGACGGAAATGAGTGACAGCTAGACAAAGTTTTGATTGATACATTTACATTTTCCTGAATTTTATACACAATTTCGGAGCGGAGGGCTAAATAATATTGAAAGGGGTTTCATTACAATTCTGAAAAAAGCCGGAACTTGCCTTCTCGTGCTTACCTAGAAGAATTAACACAGTCTTATATTTTGAACTTGTAGTGTGAAAATAGTACAAATAACGTTGGTTACGCCTTGCAGAGATTGAATAAAGCATAGCGGTCCTTTTTCAAAAAAAAGGACGCAGGAAAAACCGTATATTTTTCAGTATCTTGTTGTGTCGTAATTTGAAAAATATTTGCGGTTTGAGGCTGCCATCCACGAATTTGAAGACAACATACACAAAATTTGTCTCACATGTCGATATCTTACCGCAAAAACAGAAAAAAACGACACAGTGCTTCTAGATCTGTGCTGGAATTTTTTGGACTTAGAACTCTGAATTTAGAGCACTAACAAAATACCTTTTCCCCGTCAAAATGTTAAAACGGGAGGTTGGTTTCCTTCAGTTCCAAATCATGCCAACTTCCAAACTTAAAGCATGCGAGTTATCCACAGTTTTGTATACTTTGGGATGACTAAGCAAATAGTTTACCTAAAAATGAGCAAAAACCCCCAAAACGTGATCAACATCCACCTCCACCCCCCTTACGCCACTGGTTATTGTAGATTCTTGATAAGCGAAATTCATTATTTTAAAAAAAATGTTCGCTTTCTTTTCATGTAAAATCGGTTTTCCAAGCATAGTCAAATGACTTTTGACTACCGTTTAAGCAACTCCATGTATTGTGACAGTGTGATAGTGTCATTCCATGAATTAAAAAAAGTTTCTAAACATGCCTAAAAATATAAACGGCAGCATGTCTAATTGAGATTTGCTGGCCGTTAACTACTTTGTCGTGAGCTTGAAAGAAAGTTGAACACAGTCCAATACTTCCCGGGTTATTTACAACAAGCTATTGTGCCAAATGTCTTGGAAAAACGAAGCGTAACGTTTGGGAAATTTCACACGGATTCAAGGAGAATCTCCAAAACTAAATGCCAAGTAAAGCCAGTAATGAGCGTTTACGCGTATATTATAGTTATCTACATTTCGATGTAGATAATGCGTAGATAATGCATACAATGTGAATGCAACGACAATGTATAGAATAAAATAAGTGCAAACGTCAAAACTTTACTCAACAGGCAACTATAAAAACAATATGACTGAGCGCTGTAAAAATACGGAAATTGATTAACTAGGATTAATTGTATTCAAAAATGACAGATAATATTTCGTTGAGCGCTAAAGCCGCGATCTCATTAGTCATTATCGATCAATAATAATAATAATAATCGTCTTTATTTAAACTGTACTTCATACAGAGTTGCATATGGTGGCGAAGTTTAGCAACATGCTACTCTTACACTTAACCACCCATGCAAAAAAAAACATGTTGTTAAGTAGCAGATATCAAACAAAATATACATATATACTTACACATGTACATACATACATATATACATACATATATACATACATATATACATACATATGTACATACATACATACATATACACACATTACATACGTACATGTTGCACCAAGGTTTGCTACATGTACACAAGGGAAGTGAAGAATCATTTAACAATATATCTATAGCAATCTAATTAAGACTATGGATCCAAGTAAATATGAGATTTGACAGCTTTCTTGAAGCAATTTAAGGACATGGTTTTGAATTCAGGACTCAAGGCATTGTATAACACTGAAGCCCTGTACGTGAAAGAACGCTGGAATAAAATTGTGGAGTGAATAGGTGTAGTTATCAAATCTGGAAATCTAATGTCTATTATGAATATTACGCCTAAAGATCAGCTTTTCTCTTAAGTATATATAGGTTTTGATATAAGTATCAGGTTATGAATAAAAACAAGGTAATGATATTTGACAATATTTTTTGTTATCATCCAGTTTAATTCAATAAGACTACCAGAAACATGGTCAAATCGCCTTAAACCGCAGATGAACCTAGCGCAATTGTTTTGCACAATTTGAATCCGATTTCTAGTAACAACATTGAGACATGGATAATATAAAATATCGCAGTAGTTGAAAATAGGCATAACCAAAGATGAACACAGTTTTTTCCTTAGCTTATAATTGAAAATTGCTTTATTGGCATATAGTGATCGCAGTCTCAAGTAGGTTTTCTTCAAAAGATTTTTAACATGACTGGTGAATCTAAGTTTGAAATCGATTACCACGCCAAGAATTTTAACCTCGTCAACCGGGTACAGTCTTTGAGATCCAATTTTAATAGTTAATCGACTTTTGATGAATGATTAATGATGAATCTATTCCATTGAAGTGAAATAGCTTAATGAAAACATCCGTTCAACCATATTGCTCTATCGATTTGCACAGTGTGATCAAATTTACCATTCAATTCTATACTCAATGGCATAGATTCATTATTATTGATCGACTAATAATAAACCTGCCTTAATACTGCAAAAAAGTTGTCTAAAGCCGCATTCTCGTTAGTCAATTTTATTGATCAATAATAATGAATCTATGGCATTAAAGTGAAGTAGTCTAATATGAACATCCGTTCAACGATATTGCTCTATCGATTTGCACAATGTGATCAAATTTACCCTTCAATTCTCTGTTCAATGGCATAGATTCATTATTGTTGATCAAAACTTTTCATCTCATAAAGAATGACCTGGGGAGCGTTTCTCCTATCAGTTATTCTACTTCCTGATTTTTAAGAATTACCTGCTGGGGGTTAATTCTTGAAATGACGGAATCACGAATTTTCGAACATTCTGGGACCCCCACAGTCCGCGTTCAGGGGCCCCGTGTGTACCGGATTCGACGCGTACTGAACGTGTGAACGATTTGATATTTGACGTCTTTTGCATGTCTACAGAACGAAAAAAATAAATCTAGACAAAATACAAACATAACAAATAAGGTTGTTACCAAATAGATGAAAGTATACAAAGATGTTACAAATAGTAGTATACACAAACACACAAAAGGTATACGACGATGGATGAATGTACAAATAAAGAATGACCTGGGGAGCAGTTCTCCTATCAGTTATTCTACTTGCTGGTTTTTAAGAATTACCTGCTGGGGGTTAATTCTTGGAATGACGGAATCAATTTTGGAACATTCTGGGACCCCCACAGTCCGGGTTCCCTTTTTGTGTCCCGGATTCGATTAGTCGTGAACTTGTGAACGTTCATAGAAAAACTCGTTATTCTTTTCGCTTCATATTTTTTTCAGTATCGGAACTATTTTTTTTTTCTAAATTTCTCTCATGCGCCTCGAAACACAACCAAATAATACATATATCGGCTTCAAGAGTTTCTTTTGTATACATATCTTGAGATATTTTTTTTCCTTTACAATATTTCTTCAATACAAACAAATTGAAAATGCATAAATTAGATAATAAACATTTATGGCCCAACATGGTTTTAACTTCAATCAGTATTCTAACTGTTGTACAACTGCAAGCGTTACCAGATAAGCCACAAAATACGTACTTGGTATCGAAAATATTTTATATAAAAGTTAATCCACAATAAAATTCATTAAAGATGAATATAAATTACAATTTCAACAAAACAAAGTTTATGAAAGACATAAAATTTTCTAAATGCTCTACTCATACCCATTTATCAATAATGTGCAACATTTATTCCAGTTGATTCTATAAAACTTTCTAGTTCGGGTCTCGGAATCTAGGATAGCTGTAAATAATATTTTCTTGGCAGAACAGTTTATTATGTAGGTGGTGTCATGCACTTTTCAGCATTTCAACTCAAGTCTAAAAATGCGATTATCCACACGCAGATGCTCCTATGAGTAGCCATAGCTTATTCTAATATAACAAAAGAGTTTTTATTTTAAGTGTGCAGACAAATTAATAATGTATCCATACCCTATTGTTCATTGCAACTACATTTTCTTGATTACACAAACTACACATGTATGAATTCCTGATAAGTGTACATTTTCATTATTTATATTATAAATTGTCTGCATGTGATTATACTTATAATTGAGTTATATAAATTAAGATATGCACGGTAATGATGTATTTCCCACCTAATGATGCTAGATTAGTAATTAAAGTTTCATCCCACTTCTAAACTATTTTCTATTGGAAACATACTGATCATTTTTTTAAGTTCAAGTCACTCTATCATTTTGAAAAAACCTGGAAGGAACCTGTATTTTAGCTCCATACCAAAATTTTAAGATTAGTGATATTACTCTTCGTTTTCAAGAATGGGGCCTTTGGAGGCGATTCTCTTGTTCAGTGGCTGCGCCGTCTAAGCCTACTATAAACTCCACGATCTGTTAACCATTCCACTGACAGTTGCGTGTGTGGCCTGCCATTTAGTATGGGATCTAAAAAGAACGCATGAAAAGAACGGATAAATCAGAACGTATGCCAAATTGTGGTATTATAATAGCGGTCTTTGTATCCAAAGTCCAAAAAGAAATTAAACGATTCAATTTGAGCCAGCAATGATGTACGTACAATTTGTGCATACAACATAAAACACTTCATTAGCTAGATTTCTGTTCACATTTGTTTCTCAAAATGTGGCGTTTCACAAACTGCACATTATATCCCCTTGAAATCGGGCCAAATCGCATCCCACTTTTTTTAAACGTCGAAACTTTGGCGCCTTCAGATAGTGTGGCATCATTAATAAGAACGTAAACACCCACTTCATGCACCTGTCCTCCTTATAAATAGATCAAGTTTCACATTTATTCATTTGTTTGTGAATGCCACCGTTATACCTGTACGTCGCTGTTTTCATTCTGATCTCGATCCTTGGCACCACCTTCTCAATCAGATAGAGGTTCGAGAGTTGGCGATTACGAGGGCCATTTCCAGGATCGTGGCATTTAAATAAGATGATAAATTGAAAACAAAAACTTTTTCATGTAACCGTAGGAGTGACCGAATTACATATTTCAGTATTCCGGCTTTTGAAGTCAAGTTAAGCTACCAGGTTAACGCTAGGATATTTGCTCAGGCCTGGAATACCCAATCCGACTGAAACCCCTGTCTGTGCAAAAACGGACATATTTATCGTGTCGCCGCCAGCCAGCTATGCCTACAACTATATAGGTATATACCGGGTGTCTCAAATTCGACTGTCATCATTGGGTTTTAGGAAACCAAGTCGAGTAAATGGGTGGACAATTGCGCATTTAGGTGAAGTGGCACTTGGAAAATCTCGCAACTCAGGGCATTTTGGAAGATGGTACCAAAACAACTGAATTTTCCCAAAATCATTATCATTTTTTCCTCGACAATTTTCCTCAATAAATAACTATATTTTTTCTTATAGACGACAATTGGTAAATAGGGTTTATAATTCTGATTTCAAAAAAGGTTAATATGTTATTCACATTGGCATTACCAAACCTTAGTCATTCCAGAACAGAATTTCCTATGTAGGCCTTGAAATTATGAGAAAGTCATTTGATTCATATCCGCCAATCATTTCTATGGATTTTATGAACTAGGAATAGGCAAACTCTCCCTATTTGGATTGATATTATAAAGCAGTGGGGGAATAAGGTAGTTTTGAAACCATTGAAGGCAGTATTATTCTAGGTAACAGATACAACCATTCTACCGTAAATAGAAACCTCGACAATGTTGCACCTGCAAACACCTTTCAAGTCCGCCATATCTGAACCGATGCAGACATCGTGCTAAAATAATGCTTATTTTAGTTGATAAGTTGTCAAATTATTTGAATATCCTTTAAGTACGATTAAAATTTAAAGCATGGGTATTTCTTTTTTCATAAATTCATAAATTGAATATGGCGTTCATAATAAAAAATAAAGTTGAATATTGAGGGCAAGAGATAAAACGTCAACTTGAAATGACAATTATGCTGCGGTGTAGAAACAAAAAGTTTCAATGTAATTGTGCAAGTTATTTTGCAATCACATTTTAAAGAAAGTCAGTAAGAAAACGACTTTGTGAAAATTCGGTTTATTTCGTATATGTCCGAAAATACTCGAAATATCCATTATGCCGAAGTAGTAATTCACCCAAAAAAATGCAAATGTACCCTCAACGTGATCAGTATTTTGAACCGTTCAAAATGGGGGCGCCACACCCCCTTGCCACTCTCTTACATACCCCACTGTGAGCAAGATTGTGATTCATGAGTTTGCAGAATTATACCTCGAAAAACGTTTGAAGTGTGGGGCTGTCGTAACACTCGAAACATCCAATACCATTTCTTCAATAGGTGCTAACCCCTATGGAAATATCTGGCTACGTTGTGAAAGAAGCTAATGCTTATTATAAGTCAAGTCCAGTGAGCAATATTTCAAATACCTTTGTAATGAATGCCAAGTGAGCACTAAAATATACAGGAAAAAAATGTTGGTGATGTTTCATTAAGAATATCCTGATCCGCCTATAGGCGGCTTGTACTGTTGGAAAGTAAAAGGAATATTACGTAAGTCACCGTAATGAAGAACAATGTTTGCTCTTCTTAACCCTTTGGATCCCTCAGGGCCAAGATTTTCTCCCAGCGTGTCTAGCTCTATCCAAGAGCCCAATGTTTAACTTAGATTCAACAGAAAATAACTACCTATTACGGAATACTGTTTATTCAAAGCATATCAACAAGAAATGGAGTTGAGGATGTCCTTATTCCCACTAGGGAGCTGAAATTTAAGCTTCATCTAACCAAAAATATGTGAGAATTGGAGCTACGTTCTATTCTAGGAATCCAGTATCAAAATACGGATTTTATTATTTCTCATGGTGCCGCCTCTGTGCTCCATTAAAAGCTTGTAAATGTTTGTGGAACTGTAGAAATCTATTTTTGAACTGGAAACGGATTAAATATTGTAAACTTACCAGCTCCCACCACATTTCCAGCCGGTTGTGTGTGTGTAAAATATGGAGAAGTTAAAAATATAAGGCCAGTCAACAGAAACATGATATGTTCGCCTGTTGGACAGCATTTGTAATTTTTCATTGTATCTTTAGCTTTAGTCGTCAAAACAGCATCAAATATTCAGCAATCCATAACTATTGAACAGCGTTGATGCCTAACATCTCCAGAGCTAATATGTCCTTCATAGATTCGTTTTGTGAATACGTAACCATGCTTTTTCTTCTATAAATGATTAACTTTTAATTCCATTATTCTGTACAATGTATTAACACCGCCTACGAATCTTCTAAACGTCAACGATTTTAAAAAACAAGTAAAGAAAATCATCTTTGAACAACAAATTTGAAGACAATCTTCACACCTCATTTCTCTAAATTATGACATGATCTATGCAGGTCGCTTTAAAACATAATTTTGATATCATAGGTGGATTTATGTGACATTAATATAATTCTATTATTTAGTAGGTACTGAACTATTATTTACACATTATATTCTATTAACATATTTTTGGTTTCAATTTTGTTAAAAGCTAATTGGCAGAATAGCTATAAGCTAAACTTCACCCTAAATAAAGACAATTGTTTATTATTACTATAATTATTATTATATTCATTATCCAATATATCTGGCACCAAGTGACCAGAAGGCGTATCACCTTGGAAGACTGGGAGAAATGTTTCATTAGGTTGTAAATTTTTTCTATAGATAGGTTACCAAAAGGCAAACAATGCATTTATATAGATCATTCTTCATCTGAATTAAAATCTATCAGAATGAAATTGTAATAGAGAAATTACAGTCTTAATCACATAACTGAGCTAATTAATAAAACAAGTTGTCTTTGTCGGTAGATGGCCATGAGATGGCAGAGTAAAACATTTGCACTTTTGAGATCCAATAGCAAACCATAAGAACAAACATGGAACTATCATGTTTGTGGTCCACTGGTTGTTTTGGAAAGTATCAACTAGATATTTACTTCAAGGATACTTAACCAATTTGGGTCCACAAAAGAACTGGAAAGAGAATTGTTGTTTAATTTCATATAGAATAATTCCTATGCCTTAATTTTGTTATTGTTATCATCTCTGTGCAATAATGATACTCCGGATCCGAAAAGAAAGAGAACAGCGAAACACATCGCACGCCCATGAGGATGCAATGTGTTTTGATTCTCTCTTCATTTTCGGTTTACGAGTATAGTCAAATATCTTCTTTCCGTGGCCTGACAGCTTCAACATAAGTTTTAATGCTACTTGTGTTGATGGTTATAGTGTTGGTATTGACAAAAAGCCTAAAAGTTTTTTGAAATATATCATTCTTATTCTGTTCGAAATTATTAGTGACAAAATGGCATTATTTTCACCGAGAAAGAAATTTTTGTCAGTTCAAGAGACTTCTGTCCTTAATCGGTGCCGTAGAAATTATCACTACCCTGTAGAGAACATTTACAGGGCCTCGGATGAAAAAAATAACAACAAAGTCACATTTTGCTTTTGGGGTTTATTAGACAAAATAGTTACTGAAGGTATACAGATGAAAAACAATTTGACGTATCTTCAAGTCAGATGGAAATTTACACAGTATTTTCTTCCACTTTCAGTCCTCCGCAAGGCATTCGAAGCCTTCGACAACCAGAAATCAGGAAGCATTCCATGTGACATGGTGGCCGACATCCTCCGTCTTATGGGCCAGCCTTTTGACAAGAAAATCTTAGAAGAACTCATTGAAGAAGTAGATGCTGACAGTAAGTTATCAGAGCAAGCAACTGTACTTATCCAAAAATTATCGTAGCATCAAAAAATAACCAAAATCTCAAAGTATCTTTATGTTACGAACATTTGACCGATTTGAGTAACTAGATAACAATGTCAAGCTGACGCACTGCCTTCTCTTTACTCTCCCCCCTTCTTTCCTTTCTCTCTTCTTTCCTGGTTTCTCCCTGACTTTGTCTCTTATCTGGGCAACCAGACCTGACAGACCTACTGACTTACGATGCTTTAACCAAGAGCAAAGGTCCTACGGACCGCTCTGACAGGCAATAACGAATAGAGACAGGACAAAATATCTCTAATTGTAGATTATCAGTTAGTTTTAACAAGAAATTACTGACGACCGGAGACTGTCAAATACAGTTCTGTCAACAAGAGCACTCGAGCGCTGCGAGTATCCACTTGTCGCCGCATGTCCAGGCATTTATGGGTCGCTGGCCAGTGACGAGGTGGATCTGAACTTACAATAGCTACGTGATGAAATGATCTGGGCCTCTGGGAATGACCGTTTCCAACTATCAAAGCAACGTGGCGACGCCCTTTATGAATCAATAGTTCTAATTATCCACTGTCACTAAAATCATGTACGTAGTGGAAAATAAGCAACATGTGTCACAACTTGCGCTTAATTTCTTTCTATGTAAGAACACAGAACTCAAAACGATATAGTCGAAATGCTCTCCTAGCCTAAACAAACATATACCTAGAAAATCTTAGTAACAAATTCATCATTACTGGGTGTTCTATTTTCTATGTCACTTAGTATATTTGTTTTGTATCATCCTGTAATAGTTGAGGTAGTCTTTCAATGTTATAGACATACCCCACTAAGCCAGTCAGACTTCTCAAACAATTCACAAATATGTGAATCAACACATATATAAAATAAGTCAACCTCTTCAATTTTGATCCTGGCGACACTGCTAATCGATTAAGTTTCTGTTTTTCAGTTTCTTGAATCATCTTTATTCCATTATTTAGTGATCGATACTTTGGAGTTTGTTTTGGTTTTGACGCAGAGAAGTATATGTTTATTGGATATACCATAACTCAATACATGTTGACTATTTTTGAAATGAAAATGATGGCTAATACGGATTTTGTCTCAAGCTACAAAGCTCCTGACACGTCTTCTACTATGCTATTGATTAACGTATTTCCGAAATAAAATGAGATACCATAGCGTCACAGATGGCGCTGTCTACATGAGCAGATGCAACCGTGTAGCATTGAGTCAGCTATCTTGAGACAGAATACGTCAATCAATGATTAAACCCGCACTGATAGAATTATCTCCCATTTTTCAATATCTCCGAGGAATTTTTCCAGTAAGTTTCGAACAGAATTTCACAAAATTCTCTAGTTACCCATCACCATTTTTATTTACTAAACTTATTCTGAAAGATTGAGAAGTTTTCCGGACAAATGCGCGAAAAAAAAAATAATGAAAATTGTTCTCATAAACCATTTGCTAGTTTTTTCCAATCAACTTTAAGCGTCACTTAATACAAACATCGGAGTCTGTCATGGGGATTAAACTTTTTTTTAAAAATTAGTGATCTCAAGTTATATGCGTTGAATTATTCTAAAGCTTGTTTTTTTTCATTTCAAATATCTCGTAAAGTAGAAAAATTCAACCCAGCAAAACAAGATATCCTCACTAATAAACCAATGGTATTGATGTACCCGAGTTCTAAAGATTTTTCGGAATTATAAATAGTTTGGAATGTGACATATCGATCTAGAGGTATTTCCTCCAAAGCCAAAATGAAGATATTGGTTTCTTCTAAATAGGAACAAAGAATGGCTCACGTAATTACAATATCGTTTTTGGAATAGTCTTATAAATCAGATGATTAATATCCCATTGCTTCTAGCCATTAGAATCTCATTTTCTAAATGCAGTTCTTCGCTAAGCAACAAGCGTCAGTGGTCCACTTAAAATATAGTAATTATATAGTTATAATGTTATCTACGACTGGGCGGAAAAGTATGCTTTATGAACAGGTTGTTCGGACATTAAGACTAACGTTTCATGCCCTAGGGCGATAGAGTAACTCTAGCGCCTGTTAAGTATAGATCAACCCATGTTCAACAAAATATGGTCATCATCATAGGAATTGTCTTATTTATTCGTTACTAGGCGACGGCGCAACTACAGGTGGTACGGCCAATTTATCTTTATAGTTAACTCTACTTAAAGACTACTTATTTTTAAAGCAATTCGAATGAAATTTTTAACACATATTTTGCTAGACGCCCTAATATTTGACTTTTACAAAAAAACTCGGGGGTTCTCACCACTACGTCAATTATAGCAGAATTTATTCGAAATTCTCTCAACGATTTTTTTCGTTTAAACGACTCTTTTATTTACTTCATTTTTTGTCTCAAATGAAAACAGACTCGCAGTTTTCGAAAAAAAAATGTTTTCGGAGCTAGTTTCTAGAAAAATTTCTTATTATATCATTTAGTAGGCATCAACAATAGTTGGCGAAAATGTGGGATGTTATGCAAGTATCAGATAATTTTTGACAACAAGATTCATAAAGTGACATAACATATCACATTTCCGTCAACTAAAAAAATAGATACCTACTAGATTTCAACACTTGATGTAATAACAGATTTTTTCTACTATTACTATTCGTCATTATTCGTCAGAGCGGTCCGGTGGACCTTTGCTCTTAGTTAAAAGTCTCGTCGGTCTGTTAGTCTGTCAGGTCTGGCTACCCAGATACCATACACGTTTAAGGGGAAAAGGGTAGGAAGAAACAGAGCAAGGAAAAGAAGTAAATCATTTGAAATAGCTTAAGCATTATTGCTTTGACTACTGAATTTACAATTTAATTTTGATCACAGTGCGAGGCGCGGTCTGGAATGTTTGCGAACTTGCTCGACTGTATAGTCTACTGAATCACGCAACAGAGGGTTGCTGTGCGATTCGGCTTGATTATAACGGCTTTGCGCCTGTTGTTTTACATAATCCCTCAGATATGGGATTGTGCGTAGGATTCTGTTTTGCAGAACTTGCAGTCTCTGCATGTGCGTCTTGGCAAGAAAACACCAAGAGAATTTTTTCTGTGACGGTAAAAGAGTTTGACATTTTATCTCTGGTGACAGGTAACAAAACGTCACTTTTTATGAAATTACTCTTTTACCTGGAAAAAATGAGTACTTTTTGTATATTCGCAATTTAGCTGGCTACTTTGGCTACTTCTACTAATTCCGGTGGAGTACAAAGAAAACTTTGAATCAGACATTTTTTACTTTATAGTATTAAAAATAATTTCTAAACAACCACTAAGTTCACATTTTTTAAATCAAATCACCAAATTAAATTGACAGCTATTTGATTACTTTAAAAGTTTCCTTAGCAACTCAGGTCTAATTGTCGCTATCAGTATAACATAGTCTACTAATTTCAAAGTTCAAATTTCATACCGACAATTTTCTGACTTAAATATTGCAATAATATAATTTTTCAATATTAAATCGTCGTTTTTCCCGTCACGGGAAAAATACTAGATTTTAGCTTGAGGTTATATTGTCTCCCCAAGCTAAAATCTAGTACTTTTTTCCTTGTATAATAATCAACTATTTTTAGAAACCAGTTCCGAAAAACATTTTTTCTCGAAAAATATGAGAGAGTTTTATAAGAAAAGAAAGTAAGTAAAGAAAAGATTCTTCTAAGCAAAAAAAATTCAGAGTCGTTGGGAGAGTTGCAAATAAAATTTGCTATAACTACGTAGGGGCGGGGGCAGTTTTCACCTTCCTCGAACACTTCTTTTTTTTGTAAAAGTCAAATAATAGGACGTCTTGCAAAACATAGTCGGACTATCGGTTCCAAAAATATCTGAAAAAATATGTTTTAAAAAGAAAACTTTGCGGCACTATAACGTACAAACGGAGTACTTTTGCATTGAGGTGAATCATGTCCAATAGACTTATTTTGAGTTCAAAAATACGTGGTACTTCTTCGTTCACGGAATATTGGGACACCCTGTATATAGATTTTGTTTCACTACTTATGTACACTATACCAAACTGATCCACTTAGTTTTAGACGGGGATAACGACCTAATGTTTGTTGGTTGAGTTTTCATTCTACAACCACTAATAGTTGTTTTCCAGTATTTTTCCGATTATATATACAGGGTGACTTCGAAGTTGAGTCATTTATTTTAACAGTGAGTAGATCTGATCAAAAGAAATGTTTTTTTCCTTTACCATTTTTCTGGTAAAATTAAAGTAACAAAGTTATAGCCCTTTGGAAGTTTGAGTACCGCCCTGTCTCAATAATAATATCATGTGCTCGTGTTTGGCAACAACGGATATAATCCGCCTTATCGGTTCATCGCATCGGAAACAAAAAAGCGAAAGAATTTGGAACGATGTTTTTACAATTATTTTATTCAGTTGTATACATACAGTCAGTGTCAGTCGGTAACGCGTGTGAATAGTGGTGTCTGTTGCGTGGCTCAAACGAAATAAAAACTGGCACATGTTTATGCGGATCGCTTTCCCAATCGAGTGCAACCAACCCCTCGTGCCTTTGTTAATGTAGTACAACGGGCTCGTGAATCAGGTGACTTAAGACCTCACAGGGGACCTCACGATCAAATACAGGTCCGCACTGAAATAATTGTCGGGAGGATACTTTATAAAACAAGGTAAATTTTTTTTTTAATTTTTTTTTATTTTTACACACATATTTTGGTTTATCTTCCTTCTACAATCATTATCTGAAAATTAATGACTCAACTTCAAAGTCACCCTGTTTATATACTCAAAAAGGGTAGCAACATGACGAGCCATACCTAATGTTAGTTATTTCCAGGGTTGACATTATTTAAATGACATTATTGAAGAGAAAGGCTACTTCTCAGTGAGGTATTGCGGTCAATAACGGTGATTTCTCTGATTAGTAGCCAAAAATAGTTTTTTATTCTGACAACTCTCATCTCATATAGTCTTTCCGACTCCTCACACATCAGTCAAGGACTTAACGATAGTCTGCCTGAATACGTATCATTAGGGAACATTTGACAAAAGAGTGTAATCAAATCTGAGATATACATATAACTTGTAAGCAAACATAAAATAATGAAATAATTGTTTTCAGAATCTGGTCGACTTGAGTTTGAAGAGTTCGTAACACTAGCAGCCAAATTCATCGTTGAAGAAGATGATGAAGCCATGCAGAAGGAGCTCAAAGAAGCTTTCAGATTGTACGACAAAGAAGGTAAAGCAATCCTTTAACCTCCAACGCAAGAACTGTTCATTTGGTCATACCAAAAATAGCTTTTGTCAATCAAAGAGGACAAACTATATGTAAATGTCACCTTTGTACCATATCTTACCGATTATGAACAACATTAATTACAGTGATTTATGGCTAGTCCGCTCTAGCCAAACTGAAAGCACCAACAAACAGCCTGCAAATAAATTTCGAGGTTTCTCTTACAATACAAAAGACCTATTGATCTTGATAGCGCATCAGTAAGACACACGGTCATACCGATTCCGTGATACGAATGAAATAATTTCTTATCCCAGTGTCTGTTATGCTCCTTCCAAATTCTTCGGATTCTTGAGATAAGTCAACAGGTATTAAAAATACCTTTAATCAAATTTCCAGCGCTTCTGCGTTTATTAGAAAAGCAAGGAAGAGATATATTTCGGGAAAACACTCCATCAGATGTGGCAGCATTTGTCGCAAGAGCCCATTTGCAACCTGGGGCCAAGGGTGAACGTATTTGTATATCTCGTAAGGTAGGGGAGACCTGGGCAAAGCGAATACCCCGTGGTAAAGCAAATATTCCCCATTAAATGCAAACAATACACATACTCGTCCATATTCCTTAAATAATCGTCAAGATCTTAAATAATGCGAAAGGCTTTCGCGGTCATCATTCAGTGTTATTTGGTTGGTTTTTGGGTTATTAGACCGTTGTAGAATATTTTTATTTATTTATTATTTTTATTTATTTATTATTTTTATTTATTTATTATTTTTAAATAATATTTTACGACGGCCTAACCAATCAAATAATCGTCAAACAGTTTTAAGACAAAGTGCTTATTTACTTCGTCATGGAAAAAAATGAGTTTGCAAAATAAATTTTGTGCTTATAATTCCAGTATTTCTGAAAGAATTTCCTAGTTGTACAAATCAAATGGATTGAATCAATGGTTTTGATAGAAATTATGATAATTCCAGAACAAGTGGCTTTGGGCAAAACTGTTAAGGACAAAATGGATACACACAATCTCCCTGGTTTTGTTATTATATAATATATGCTGCGTATGGTATATTGATATACAAAAAAATTATGGATCTCGGTCGGAAGAAGCAGTAAGATCTCAATCAATTCACGTAAAACTGTGATTCACTAAAACCAAGTTTGAGAGCCCTTGGGGTACCGTGGGGCTATAGGGGGATACAGGGGAAAGGGGGAACGCCACTCGGACTCTGGACAGGGAACACGTGTGCATGCAACATGCACACATTCTGGCCCCGCCTACGAGATCCGCCGGGTGGTACCTCTGCGTTCAACAGTCAGAGACCGTCTACCACCTACGGACAATCCCGACATTCATAGCCAAGAGAAACATTTCTCTTGGGACGGGATTCGAACCCGCGCAGCGCACGGCGACTGATTAGTAGATCCGTTACGTCTACCACTACGCCCCTCGCTGCTGCTACTTGAGATGTGACTTCAAAATAAATTGTAAGTTACAACAATAATAATCATAAAGAAGGAGAGGGAATTCATAGCAGATGTTTCAAATGTTGTCCTTTATTTTGTAGGCAAAGTCTGGCTCTTCGCTGTACATTGCTCACTACTCGACTTATTACCTTTCTTCTCAGTCGTCCAAGCTCTGTTGGTGGCCAATATGTAACTGGTTTGTTAACCATTTGTGACGTATGATCACTTTGACGATGTCTGTATCCGTTTTGTTCCTTGTAATCTATATACTAAACAGCTAAAACTTACAAAGAGTTATTGTTTATTCTTTGAAGGTGGATAATTATAGAATCCATCCAGTTATTTTCCTCAACAATTATATAGTCACCAACATTCGTGCAATAATAGCATAGTTCTTAAGGTGTCCGCTTTGTCCGGGTGTCCCCTATTTGATGGTACTATTGTCTGGTTCCGATATCCAGAAATAATAAAACTTTTAAGCTCCATGGTGGAGGTCCTGGGGCTTAGCAGAAGGACATCTTTTAAAGAATCGTGTGCCATTATTCTTTGCGATCAATATGAATCCGACAGGTCGTCCACATATTTCAGAACTCGCTTTTAAATCTCCAACACGAAAAGAAATTCTATACGTGTATACTTTAAATACATCTAAAATCGAAAGTTCTGGCGAACCACCAGGCCAGTATTGATAACCTCATTAATAATACTGACAGAGCTGTTAGCGGAATCCCACTATTTTCGGAGCCGCAAATACACTAAGTAGGACCATCTGGCAGGATATAACTTGATAGCATGTCATGATTCTCACTTGTTTTGACGCAGATGCATACATCAATTTAAAATAATCTCCCAGCTTTCATCCTTCATACCGCAGGTGTAGATGTATTTCATATGTAGGTATGTGTATCATAAAATGATTTATCTAGACATATATATTTTCAAAAATATATAGTTGTAGCTTCTAGCATAAGTTTGGCATGAGTGACTGAAAAAAACAGTACTCCTAGATTAGGGAATTACGATCGTTGAGGATACGGTCGAGTAGTTTTGGCAATTAAAGTGCAAGGTAGTATATCGTTTACGAGATCTAAGAGCCAAAGCACGTTAATTCTCGCTTCAATTCAGCAATAATTCTTACGTAATCCAGTTTCTGAGTATGTCAGAAATAAACCAAAAATATTTGGGAAAAATAGAAAAAGGATGTGTCCAACTGAACGCAACAAGAATGCCTTTTCGATGAATTCTGCCTGTGCTTGTATCCAGTTTATTCAACTTTTGCACAGTACGTCAACGCTAGTAAAATGTTGAGCGCTTGGATGACTAGACGCCTAAGAGGCGGGTGATACCTGAGCCATGAAACAAAAGACGTACAATTTATTGATAGTCTTATTTTTCAATATACAGGGTGACTTGTAATGTCACGTATTCCTGTTAAGGGGTGATAGATTAGGTCAAAAGCAACCGATTTTGTCCTATAATGTCTTATCCAAAAGTTAACCATTTTTGAGTTATTTGAATTTTAAGTTTTTTATTTTTTATTCCGATTTCAGACGGTTAAAATTGAAATACAAAAAACTGCATGCTTGGCTTTGAGTTTTTTGTTATCGTCGCATAGCAGACATTCCAATAGTTCATAATAAGTAATAAAACGTTGAAAACTTAAAAAAGTTTTAAAATTACGCTTTTGAAATGTATGATTTTCTTATTTTTTACTAACTTATTCGATAAAAAATGCAATTTTCTGTAAAAAATCTAGTAATGAAATGAGCAAATTATGTAAACAATATCTCTATCTAACAAGCTTTCATTCGAGGTATTAAGCGTTCAATTATCTGAAGTACATGCAGAGAAACAACAATGACACCCACAGAGGCTGGATTTTTAAGGAATTTGTATTACCTGTTTGAACAAGTTGTTACTGTCCTCAAAGGACTCGCATGCCATGATTGTTTTATGGCATCGGCTCGACGAGGAAGCGAGCGAGAAGAGCTGACTTAGTGGAGGAGTCAGAGAGAGAGAGATGTTATTATTCATCATTGTAGTTACGCCATCGCCGCACGCCGAGTGAGAATTAGGTTTAGTTGGTATCAACTACTGCGTACGCGCACACGTTTTAAGCACGATTATTATTTTCGAGTTTCCCAGTTAATTTCTTTATCATCATGGCAGACGCAGAAGATCCGCCAGGACCTCGCCATAGCGAGCACGGGCAAACTTTTACAAATGAAGAATAAGTAGACATAATGTTCTGTTATGGACTTTGTAACGGCGATTCTGCATAGTGATGTAAATATTCGGAATATTTTGATAACCGGTTACACGGAAACGGATGAATAGAATATTCGGATGAATCATCCGTAATAATATTACGTATCATCCATAATATCAGGTGCCTCAGGTGGAGCCAATCCGGCAAATACATGCGGTTTTATGCGACCTGGCAACACGGAATACAGATGATTGAAATAATACGGAACAAGGGACGGTTTGCTATGATTAGTTATTAGTTTTATTCTGACGTGAGAAAGTGGTTTGTTTTGTTGGTTGTCTGTTGCGTCTCGCGTTCGTGTTCGAGGTTCGAGTTGTGATCAACGCCACCAGTAGCGTGACCTATTTGAATTTTTCATATCTGTGATAAGGTACCTAATTTAATATTATTAATAAAACTGATTGTTTATTTTTCTTTGTTTCATTCCGCTTTTAAAAATTGAAGATATAGTTTTTTCATTTAATATTAATTGCAGAAAATAAGAAAACATTAACTATAACTAGGCGACCTGACCTAAATACCTAAAATCTGCGCCACCACTGGCGATTAACGTCTGCGTGCGGTGTGCGCTGCATGTTGCATACCTATACGGATGAAAATGAGAACTATTAAAAATCATACGTATTATTATTCTTCCATGGAAGTTTCTTCCGGACTTCTAATCTAACTTTCCGTTGTATGTTGTTGTTGTTGTTGCCTTGTTAATTTCATTGCAAAAAACGAAGAACGCAAATTACACACATTCCGTATTAAAAATAATACGTAATAAATTGATATTCGGCATATTACGGAATAAATGAATATTCGGATTGTACCGTTATTTTAATCCGTATCCCTACATCACTAAATTTCTGCAGCTGCCCGCCGTGAATATCGGCAACGTTTCCCGATTCGCCTAACACCTCATGTTACTGTATTTGACTCTGTGTATCGGCGCATCCGCCAAGCCGGACGTGTTCAAAGGCAACATAGTGATGCTGGTCGACCCCGAGTCTATCCTCCTGAAGATGAAGAGGAAATCCTTCGTGTGTTTCACTACCTCTACGCGCACTGTGGCTGCTCAGTTGGGTATATCACAATACAAAGTATGGTTTACTGTGCATACTGCAAGATTATACCCTTATCACTACACGCCTGTGCATATGATTGAAGAGGACGATCCTGCAAGACGATTAGATTTCTGCAGACTATTTTAAGAAAATTCTGTGGACCGATGAATCGAAGTTTGATAAGGGATCACTAACTACCATAATGCTCATTACTGGGCTGATAAAGAAGCTTTAAACCCTCGAAAAATAAGACCGACGGGGTCTCAGATCCGGTTTTCAGTCAATGTGAGGATGGGCATCATTGATGGATATTTAACTGGACCTCATTTTCTGCCCGCCAATTTAAATGGAGAAGTGTGTATTACTTGTTTCCATTAATAGAATACGTCCCATTGGCGACGAGACAAAATATGCGGTTCCAGCACGACGGCTGTCCCGCACACTACAGTAGATTAGTACGGGCGTATTTAGACGCTAAATTTCCAAATCAATGGATTGGCAGAGGCGGGCCCATTGACTGGCCAGCAAGAAGCCCAGATCTCACACCGATGGATTACTATGTGTGGGGACATATGAAAAGCCTGGTGTACGATGTTTCGCCGGTACCAACGCGCGATGAATTAATTAATCAGTGCAGCTGACCAAATAAAAAGCCGCTTAACAACTAGAGTTACCAAAAGTGAATTACGTAAGAGAATGCGGGCGTGTACTCGTAACAGGGGATTACAATTTGAGCAGAATCTGTAAAATGCTAAAGGAAATGTAATTAAATAAAACTGTAATTAAAATAAAAGCCTTTTATTTATCCTACGTAATTATCGTTCGTACAACTTTACTCATCTTTTTTTAATGGTATGTTTTTGTACTTTAGTTAGTTGTAACTTTTATACCTCAAATGAAAGCTTGTTAGATAGAGATATTATTTACATAATTTGCACATTTCATTACTAGGAGATTTTTTACAGAAAATTGCATTTTTTATCGAATAAGTTAGTAAAAAAATAAATCATACATTTCAAAAGCGTAATTTTAAGACTTTTTAAGTTTTCAACATTTTATTACTTATTAGGAACTCTTGGAATGTCCGCAATGCGACGATAACAAAAAACTCAAAATCAAACATGTAGTTTTTTGTATTTCAAATTTAACCATCTGATATCGGAATAAAAAATAAAATTCAAATAACTCAAAAACGGTTAACTTCTGGATAGGACATTATAGGACAAAATCGGTTGCTTTTGACCTACTCTATCACCCCTTAACAGGAATACGTGACATTACAAGTCACCCTGTATATTAATGCACTTTGCGCCATTTCTCCTCCCGTAAACTTACACCTTTATAAAAAAATGGTTTCTCTTGACTCTCAAAAAAGTCGTCGACAACTGCTTTTAGGCCATCATCTGAGTCAAAACGTCCTTGAAGATTTTTCTTTAGTTATCTAAAGAGATAAAAATCAGACGGACCCAAGTCCTGACTATAGGGAGGATGATCTAGGAATCCCAACGAATCTGCATTCCTGCACAATTGGTCTGATTTTGGTAGCCTTATTACGGTCTCATTATCATGCAGCAGAAACACTTATCGATTGGATAAATCGGTTATTTTTGGTTGTCGCTTTACATAAATTTTTCATCGTTTTCGCATAGACGTCCGCATTAATTGTTGTCTCGTGTGGCATATGTTCAATGGGATGCCCCTGATGTCCCAAAAAATGTTGCCATCAATTTTGCAACAGAGGGTTGCGCTTGTGCTTTTTTGAGGGTGGATAACTTTAATAAACACCGCATCGATTCTCTTTTTGTCTCAGAATCCCAATAATGCATTCCAGAATCGTCTCGCTTCACAATGTGTGCCAAAAGGTCAGAATAATTGGTCAACGTTTCCAGACTTACTATGCTCAAATTGTCATGCTAGATGGATATTATGATGGATTTCGATATATTCAGTGCCAAACTAATGGTAGAGACATGACGATCTTCGAGAGAGTTTTTGAGTCATTTCATCACGTGTTGTTGTTTTGGGTCTTCTGTGGATTCACTCCCCCATCGAAACTGCTTAGACCAAAATTTTATTGTGTAATGTGTTGGTGCATCATCCCTCTAGACGCCAGCCATCATCTCAAAAATTATTTTCGATTGTCAGAAATTCTCTGACACCGCGATACTCATTTTTTCCTCACAATTGATAACTGCTTATCAAAATAAACTCAAATTGTTCAAGTAAAGTTAGAACACATGCCACTATTTGACATATTATGCTATGCGTTTCAATTGTTTTTCTCAAAGCTAGGCGGATTTATTTTCTAGTCTCCCTCGTAGTACCGCATTTGATGACATTTTCAGTAGACCTATTTTAGTGTCAGTTGGTTGTGATCATGGAATTAGGTAGACGGTTCAATAACAACGGATATATTCAACACACTAAATAAATACAAATTGATTTAACAATATTTGTTAGTTCAATATACCGCGCGCGGGGATCAACACGGAATTGGCTAACGGGGTTGTAGTACCCAGTACCGCCGAGGGGCGGAATGCCACGAAGGCATCGTCGTTGATCAAGAGGGTTGTTTTGTGATTCTCCCGAGAGATGGAGTCACCACACCTATATTCGCTTATTTGCTTTCCGTTGTATGTATCCTGTACCATACTGATGATTGCTAACAAGCAAGAAGCAACTTAGTATACGATTGTTTATGGTTACAGAGATGGAAAGCAAATAGATCGTACAGAGCGGGTGAACTCATCTATAACTCGTGTGGGGTTGTACTGTCATTCTGACTTACAAGGAATTGAATAACAGGCTACATTTACTTGGGCTGTGAACCGTTTCTATACTAAGTGACATATAAATCCGAACATCTAGTTTAAATGGTTTTACTTTAATAAAATTTTGTATAAGTAGGTACTTAATGAAGCATAATAAGTAAATGATAAAAATTTCAAAATGATTGCACTGCTTTAAAGCCATTTGACCTTTAATAATGTGTGGATGCACCCTGATGTGCTACGCATTCTCCAACGCGCCTAGGCATGCTTCTGATCAGGTGGTCAATGTCCTCCTGTGGTATCTCATTCCAGGCAACCACCAACTCCTCTCGAAGTGCTTCTAGAGTCTGGGTATAAGTCGGGAGATCTTGGTGGCCATGGTAACAATGTGACATCATTATGTTGAAAGAAGTCTATTGTGACTCTTGCAACATGTGGTCGGACATTATCTTGTTGGAAAGTTGGATCTGCCAGGGTGTCAAGATAGGGTAAGAGATGGGGTTCTAGAACTTCGTGGATATAACGCTGCGCGTTCATGTTACCTCTGATGAAGATTAAAGGTGACCTGGAACCATAAGCTATAGCACCCCAAACCATAACTCCAACAGTGTGATGAACATGTCTTTCAACAAAAAACTGTGGATTCCTCCTTTCACCACGTCGCCTTCTAACCCTGGCACGACCATTGTGCATGCCTAAACAATCGAGACTCGTCACTAAAGACAATACTGTTCCATTCCTGATCCCAGAGTGACCGTTGTCTGCACCACTCAAGGCGATTACGTCGTTGTTAAAGGGAGGACCCAGTGTGGCCGGTATGAAAACAAGCCAAAACTTCTCATTCATCGGTAAACACTTCACATGCCAATAGGTCTTCCGTGTTCTGCAAACCATTCATTTGCAATGGACCTGGTAGTGGAGAAACGGTCCCTTAAGGCCAATAATCTTATGCGGCGATCTTCACGGTCCTCCGGCGGCGTCCAGTGCCCCTTGCTCCTTGCGTACGGCCTTCTCGAAGCCATGCCTGACAACACCTAACCACAGTGTCTACACTTCTTTGGACTCTAACTGCAATTGCCCGAAAAGAAAGTCCAGCTTCCCGAAGTCCCACTATACGGCCCCTATCAAACTCACTAAATTGACGAAATCGTACAGGTCTCCGTACTCTAGGCATCGTAACCGATCGTAAAGGATGTCAAGAACCAAAGTCCGCCAACGTTGATTCTTTACTGCGGCTGAAATATTCATTTTTAGAGCGTTAGTGAATTAAAAAAAAGCAGTATAAAAACCGGAATGTCCAACTGATAAGGCTGAAAATTTTTTCACTTCTTATTGCGCGTTCATGTTACCTCTGATGAAGATTAAAGGTGACCTGGAACCATAAGCTATAGCACCCCAAACCATAACTCCAACAGTGTGATGAACATGTCTTTCAACAAAAAACTGTGGATTCCTCCTTTCACCACGTCGCCTTCTAACCCTGGCACGACCATTGTGCATGCCTAAACAAAATCGAGACTCGTCACTAAAGACAATACTGTTCCATTCCTGATCCCAGAGTGACCGTTGTCTGCACCACTCAAGGCGATTACGTCGGTGTTCTCGAGTTAAAGGAGGACCCTGTGTGGCCGGTATGAAAACAAGCCAAAACTTCTCATTCATCGGTAAACACTTCACATGCCAATAGGTCTTCCGTGTTCTGCAAACCATTCATTTGCAATGGACCTGGTAGTGGAGAAACGGTTCCTTAAGGCCAATAATCTTAGGCGGCGATCTTCACGGTCCTCCGGCGGCGTCCAGTGCCCCTTGCTCCTTGCGTACGGCCTTCTCGAAGCCATGCCTGACAACACCTAACCACAGTGTCTACACTTCTTTGGACTCTAACTGCAATTGCCCGAAAAGAAAGTCCAGCTTCCCGAAGTCCCACTATACGGCCCCTATCAAACTCACTAAATTGACGAAATCGTACAGGTCTCCGTACTCTAGGAATCGTAACCGATCGTAAAGGATGTCAAGAACCAAAATCCGCCAACGTTGATTCTTTACTGCGGCTGAAATATTCATTTTTAGAGCGTTAGTGAATTAAAAAAAAGCAGTATAAAAACCGGAATGTCCAACTGATAAGGCTGAAAATGTTTTCACTTCTTATTTACAGTAAGATTTACAGTAAAATAAATACATTCACCAACAAGAATTCTATATCAATTCCAAAGCTTGGATTGGGAATTGGGGAGAAAGTAAAAAAAAATAGTGGTTCACATAAAAGTTTGCTCAAAAGCGCCCAAAACATACATTTGACGCTCGGATATGGGATATGATAACTTCAAGTGATAACCATCGATGATCTTCAGTAGTAAAATTATAATCCACCCAGCGATTCCAGATGAATCAATTTTTGTAAGTTTTTCAAAGTAGATAATTTTATGAAGATTCTGCTTTTTAGGAAATGGCTATATTCCAACCACGTGTCTCAGAGAAATCTTGAGGGAGCTTGATGACCAGCTTACGACTAAAGAACTGGACATGATGATTGAAGAAATTGATACTGATGGATCAGGAACCGTAGATTTTGATGGTAAGTTGATCAATAATCAGTAATATTCTGCAGATACATTGGCTTTCTAATGACAGAGACCACTTAGTAGTAAGTCCAGAAGGGAAGTATTTATCTCCTGCCATACCAATTACTTCAAACATTGACAAGGAGAACAACAAGCACTCCAAGTTCTTATCCGACAGTTTCTCGTTTCCATGATGAATAATTAAAACCACTGATGTTTAACTGTTATACAGGGTTTCATTGGGAGAGAGATAAACTTTAACTGCGGATAGAGGCCACTCTAATTATTTAAACCCTGAGATAGATATGTACCTAGATGTCGGCACTTTCTTTATGGCCACACATACACTCCATATTTCTGAAAATCGGTGCGTACTTTGCAAATGTTATCGAATTGACTACGATTCAAACTACTATTAGTTGGAATTTCTGAATAATGTTTACATATTTAGAAAGAGCTCAGAAATTTGTTTCGAACATTCCACTTTTGTCATTTTACAAACGATTTTGTATAAGCTGAAGATACTGATTTTGTTCATTTTGGAGTACTTTATGGTCTTTTAGTTTTATAAGTTACTATCCAAGACTACATACGCCACATTAGTGTTAAATTTAGATCTTGTCGACCAGTAACTACATCTAGATCAATAAAAACGCATTTTCAGCGTATTAAGAAGTAAAGTTTGGCATTTGCGCATATTGAGAAAATTTGCATTGTCGACATCTCTTAGAGTTGCGTACACAAGATTGTTATACAGCCGGTAGTGTAAATGGCAACGTCGGCTCAATACCAGTCATCTAAATATTGTGTAATTTGATGGCTTTGGGCAAGGCTGATTGTATTTAGTAGAATTAGTTTGTGAGCTTTCAATGACAGAGAAAAGTACTCCAAGTTGTCTCATACTTCATTAAATCACACACCATTTGTATGGGTACCACCGAGCCATTTATACTTCCTGTGATGTTACGGGCTGTGTAACAGTGGTGTAAGTAAATTCCTCAATAAAAATTTAGTGAATATGTAAATACGCAACTACCAACCTTTAGTTCTTAATATGAACCAGGAAGTATCTTTTTGTTGATATATATTCTAGATGAAGTATCTGGTCAGTAAGATTTGCAGTGGGAGGGACAGTTTTCTGAATCTAACACTAATGTGTCGCATATAGTATTAAATATACTAAGTGACATATAAATCCGAACACCCAGTTTAAATGGTTTTATTTTAATAAAAGTTGGTGAATGTAATTATCTTACTGTAAATAACAAGTGAAAAAATTTTCAGCCTTATCAGTTGGAAATTCCGGTTTTTATACTGCTTTTTTTTTAATTCACTAACGCTCTAAAAATGAATATTTCAGCCGCAGTAAAGGATCAACGTTGGCGGATTTTGGTTCTTGACATCCTTTACGATCGGTTACGATGCCTAGAGTACGGAGACCTGTACGATTTCGTCAACTTAGTGAGTTTGATAGGGACCGTATAGTGGGACTTCGGGAAGCTGGACTTTCTTTTCGGGCAATTGCAGTTAGAGCGCAAAGAAGTGTAGACACTGTGGTTAGGTGTTGTCAGGGATGGCTTCGAGAAGGCCGTACGCAAAGAGCAAGGGGCACTGGACGCCGCCGTAGAACAACAGACCGTGAAGATCGCCGCCTAAGATTATTGGCCTCAACGGACCGTTTCTCCACTACCAGGTCCATTGCAAATGAATGGTTTGCAGAACACGGAAGACCTATTGGCATGCGAAGTGTTTACCGACGAATGAGAAGTTTTGGCTTGTTTTCATACCGGCCACACTGGGTCCTCCCATTAACTCGAGAACACCGACGTAATCGCCTTGAGTGGTGCAGACAACGGTCACTCTAGGATCAGGAATGGAACAGTATTGTCTTTAGTGACGAGTCTCGATTTTGTTTAGGCATGCACGATGGTCGTGTCAGGGTTAGAAGGCGACGTGGTGAAAGGAGGAATCCACAGTTTTTTGTTGAAAGACATGTTCATCACACTGTTGAAGTTATGGTTTGGGGTGCTATAGCTTATGGTTCCAGGTCACCTTTAATCTTCATCAGAGGTAACATGAACGCGCAGCGTTATATCCACGAAGTTCTAGAACCCCATCTTTTACCCTATCTTGACACCCTGGCAGATCCAACTTTCCAACAAGATAATGCCCGACCACATGTTGCAAGAGTCACAATTGACTTCTTTCAACATAATGATGTCACATTGTTACCATGGCCACCACGATCTCCTGACTTATCCCCAATTGAGCACGTGTGGGATATGATGGGTAGGAGATTGCTCAATTTGCAACGTCCTCCTCAGACTCTAGAAGCACTTCGAGAGGAATTGGTGGTTGCCTGGAATGAGATACCACAGGAGGACATTGACCACCTGATCAGAAGCATGCCTAGGCGCGTTGGAGAATGCGTAGCACATCAGGGTGCATCCACACATTATTAAAGGTCAAAGGGCTTTAAAGCAGTGCAATCATTTTGAAATTTTTATCATTTACTTATTATGCTTCATTAAGTACTTATACAAAATTTTATTAAAATAAAACCATTTAAACTGGGTGTTCGGATTTATATGTCACTTAGTATAGTAAGTTATAAAATTAATAGACCATAAAGCATCCAGCTTTGTACTACAGAGCGAACAAAATCAGTATCTCCAGCCCTTACAAAATCGTCTGCTCAAATAGCGAAAGTGGATCAATAAAATGAAGTTGAGCTGTTTGCCAGTATGTGAACGAAATTTAACAATGTATTTCCTAGCTGTTCGTGTCGTAGCCGATTCGTCGTTGTGAGACCATAAAATAATGGCCAAAATCATGAAACTTCCTGTATTTCGGTTGGTTATAAGAACATAAAGACCAATCAACTGTTGTTTGTTTTTGATAATCGCCCTCAGCCACCTCTATAGACTCGAAGAGAGTCGAAGAACTACATTTGAAATTTTGAAGAAAAAGCAATTTTTCGTTTGTGAAGAAAAATGAGGACCAAAAATTTTGTTTACAGAAAACGCGTAACAATATCTCTCAAAGAGGTAGAGTTTTGGTACATTGGTTACTTTGTAACTCAACGACCAATAAGGAAACTCTTTATCCCTTACTTTCAAACGATCGGACGACCTGCTTTGAAAAATACAACTTTGATGCAGATTTAAAATTTTTTACTGTATTTGTGGCATGCGTAGACTTTTGTGATAATTTTTTTCATTCTATATGATGTTTTCTGCTTCCAGAGTTTATGGAGATGATGACTGGTGAAGTTTGAGAAGACCAACACCCTGGGTCACGCTTAACCCTCTGCACTCTGTACCTTATACTTTTTTTCAGAAATCAAAATGCATTTTTGTTATAATGTGTTTATTGAGATGTACGTGAACAGAGAACAAAATTTACATGAAAATATTTTTAATTATGACTAGTTTATTTATATTTATTTAATAAATATTAAAATGTCTTATCTTTTATTAATTTGTACCATGGAATACGTGGAAGCGTATAAATGTGTATTTCCGTAAGAATATCGGTTTCTAACGTATTGTGACATGTATATTTAAATAAGTGCCGATAGAAGAATTTACTCTTAGGCGCTTCAATGCCGGCTCGAGGGCCAATAGCATTTCCACAAAACAGCTGCATTTCAGAATGCGGATACCATCAATAAAACTCCGGGATTTTAAAAGTTATATACAGGGTGACAGGTAAATAGGTGTAAAACATTTTAGGTGATAGTGCAGCTCCTTTGCTATCAAAATTAGTATATAATACCATACCTTATATTCAAAGGTTAAAAAGTTATGGAAGATTTAATTTTTTTTAAAAAACAACCCAGATTACAGAGTAAAATAATTGAGATAAAAAAAAGTTGGTGATTAAATATTCTTTTTTTGGTGGTTTCATGTTATTATTTAAATAAATAATTCTCATAAATTAAAAAACATATGAAAACACTACTGAAAACGTATTTATTTTCATTTAAATGTTAAATGAAAATTTTTATTTTCAACTTTCACATTAAGAAGTCTTTTTTTTCAAAAAAATCATAATAAAGAAAATGTACAAATAACTGCAAAAACTTCCTCGTTTCATTAGGTTTCTAAAATGGTATATCAGTAAGTAAACCATTTAACAAAACAATATTACTTTGCTAGAAAGGACCGCTAAGCGCATTTCATTGTACTGAGCAGGTAAACCGAGCCTTTCATGGTTCGACCCTATTTGTTATTTTTTGTGCCCTGTGCCGTTATTCGGGTTTAAGTATTCGGAATCTGTCGTCGCTCCTCGGAAGCAAGCTCAGCGTGTGTTATGAATTGACACAGCTGACGGATCAAGGAAATGGAACTAACGCTTAGGTTAGTTAGTAGAATATCAACCTTTAACGCGGTAGGACGTACTTTTACTTTTTTGATCAGTTTTAATAATGGCGAGTTACCGTAACGAAGAATACGCTGATATTCTGTTTATGGTTTAAGTGATGGAAATTCCGTTGAAGCCAGGCGAGAATACGAAAACCGTTTTCCGAATCGGCGAATACCGAGTCATCGAGTATTTGCTTCTGTGTACCAACGCGTCAAGGAAAGTGGACAGGTTCATGAGAGACGTCATGATGCTGGTAGACCTCGGTTGTTTGACGACGAAGATCGAGAGGCAATACTGGAATGCTACGGCAGAGACCCGACGACGTCTACACGAGTTATAGCAAAGCAGCTTGGTTTAACTCAGTGGAAAGTTTGGTTCGTTTTGGCGAGACTTTACCCTTTCCATTACACACCGGTTCAAGTATTAGAAGAAGGAGATCCCGCAAGAAGAATTGATTTCTGTCGATACATGCTTCATCGGGATGAAGAAGAAAACGACTAACTAAAATATTGTGGACCGACGAGTCTAAGTTTGACAGAGAGGGGACAACAAATTATCACAACTTACATTATTGGGCCCCACGAGAGGCAAATCCCCACATGGCAAAGAAGATTTTCGGCAAACGTATGGATGGGAATCATTCATACGTATCTAATTGGACCAGTTTTTTTGCCTGACAACCTGAACGGCGAATCCTATGAAAACTTTTTGAGATCCGAACTCTGGAAGTATCTCGAAGACCTGCGTCTGAATATCAGGATGCAGATGATCTATCAACACGATGGCTTTCCGTCTGGGTGTTAGACAGTAACTGGACGAGAAATATTCTTGTCGCTGGATTGGCCGAGGTGGACCGACACCGTGGCCAGCGAGGAGCCCAGATTTAACACCATGTGACTATTATTTACGGGGGCACATGAAGTCACTGGTGTACGCTGAGCCCATAGACACTCTTGCACAGTTGAAAGAAAGAATTATTGCTGCTGCTGACACTATCAGATGACAACTAACTGGCCGCATTCCGCGTGCCAACATGAGAAAAATACTACGGGCTTGCATAAGAAAGGGCGGGCGTCAGTTCGAACAATAATTGTAATGAATTTTACCTTCATTTCATTATTGTATTTTACTTACCAATTGTAGTAACTTTTAGTCAGTTTTTATTATTCTGTAGTACAATTACAACTGTGTAAATAATCTAATCGTGTAACTTAACCGTAGTTTAAAATAATAACTATCCCATAGCTTACAGTTACATTATTTTCACAAAAACACTTTCTTATCAATCAGAGAGTTGTGAAAATAGGAGACAAGCCATTGGTAAATTTACTGCCTATTATTGTATTACAATACAGTATGTTTAGTTTCACACAGTTTTTGTGCACTTATCATACCAATTTAGATTCCTTATGAAACAATGATATTATTTAAATTGTTTGTACGTTTTTTTGTATACTGATTTTTTTGTAAAACACCTTACTTACTGTAAAATGTTATTTGTTTTTCTTAGTTAAACATTTTTGAATGAAAATAAATACGTTGTTTGGTATTGTTTTCGAATCTTTTTTAATTTATAATAGTTAATTATTGAAATAATAACCCAAAACCACAAAAAACAAATGTTTAATCGCCAACTTTTTTCTCTCTGGACTTTTTTACTCTGAAATATGGATTGGTTTTAAAAAAATCTTAAATCTTCAATAACTTTTCAACCTTTGAATATAGGGTATGGTATTATTACTAGTTTCGATAGCAAAGGGGCTGTACTATCACCTCCTAAAATGTTTTACACCTATTTACCTGTCACCCTGTAGAATTAGCTGCTAATCCCTTGTTTTGTGCATTTTTTTCCTTTTAACAAACCCAATTGCAGGCAAAATTAGACCAGTGATGTGATTTACGACAAAATGCACGGAGCTCTTGGACTGGCAATTTCTCAGGTTAGCAGTGAATAAAATGTTGTATACTGGGTGAGCTTTTAGCGTGTTATCGGTCAATATTTTAAAACACATGAAAAGGTTTGTCATAACATTTACTTATACGCCTCTTACTTGGCAAATATGCTGCTCTCCACAGGGTAATTAGTACCCAAATGGCAACACAAACATGCATTTTTCATTTTTGAAAAGCGTCTTGAAATAAAAAAAATTGTGATGTGAAGATCATTTCTACGAAATGATTGCTACTCTATCTACAAAAGTGACTAACCAAACCCTGTAGTAGGCTATATCAAAATTTCTCCTTTGCAGATTCCTTTCGGAATATACTAAAACGTATAGGTCGTTCCATTTAAAAAAATGCATATCTCTGTGATCCGTTTCCAATCACCCTGTAGAGATCAGCATACTTTCTAAGGGGCCGATTATACTGGGTGTTTCCTAAGTGAATGTCAATATTTGAGGGAGCGAGTTTTTGGTCCATTTTAATAAGAAAGCGAATGCTCTAAACGTCTTAATTTTGGGATACAGAGTAGTCAAGTCTTTGCGCAAATCATTTATTATTCATATCAGTAATACTCACAGATATTCTTACCATATTTGTCATACATGTATTATGAATCAAGAGGCATTTCCTAATGTACCACATTTTTTGAGATACAGAGTGCTGAGATATTCAATATAATGGGTGATTTTTTTGCTAGTATCTTTTCGGCAACACTGTTTTTGAAAGATGACGCGTGAATCGTGACTAAATTTCGAAGCCAGTTTACATTATTGGACATTAAACTACCAACACGCAGACGTAGAGTGAGGACTGAAGAAAATATTGCGGATGTATCCGCCAGTGTTAGTGATGACCGTGAAATGTCGATTCGCCACCGTTCTCAACAATTGGGCCTCTGTTACTCCACTACGTGGAAAATTTTGCGACAGAATTTGGGTGTAAAACCTTATAAGATACAGCTGGTGCAAGAATTGAAGCCACACGACCTCCCACAACATTTCCAATTTGGTGAATGGGCGCTGGCAAAGTTGGAGGAAGATCCACATTTTTATCGAAAAATTGTGTTCAGCGACGAAGCTCATTTCTGGTTGAATGGGTACGTTAACAAGCAAAATTGCCGCATCTGGAGTGAAAACCAGCCAGAAGCATTGCAAGAGCTACCAATGCATCCCGAAAAAATCACTGTTTGGTGTGGATTATGGGCCGGTGGCATCATCGGGCCGTACTTCTTCAAAGACGACAATGGCCGGAACGTAACTGTGAATGGCGAGCGCTACCGTGCGATGATAACAAACTTTTTTTTGCTCGAAATGGAAGAGCTGCACTTGGCTGACATGTGGTTTCAACAAGACGGTGTCACATGCCACACCGTACACGAAACAATGGCCCTATTGAGAGGCGAGTCCGGTGAACAGTTTATCTCACGTCAATTGGCCGCCTAGATCGTGTGATTTAACGCCTTGTGGGGCCATGTTAAGGCTAATGTCTACAGGGATAAACCAGCAACGATTGACGCACTGGAAGCCAATATTGAAGCATTTATTCGTGAGATACCGGCCGATATGTTGGAGAGTGTGCCAAAATTGGGCCTTGCGCATGGGCCATCTAAAGCGGAGCCGCGGCCAACATTTACATGAAATAATCTTGAAACATTAAATTATATCGACCGTTCTATCGACTCAAATAAAGATTTAATCGTTTTTTCAAATTTTTTGTGTTTTTTTTTGAAAATCAAATCCTATACCTCTTAAAAAATCACCCGTTAGAAAGTCAGTGGCACACCATTGACTTTTCGTAAGAAAAAAAATTAAAGCTGTATTAATGAGCAGATTCGACCTCGTAATTTTTTTTATTGTCATATTAACGATATTATGGTTATACAGACAAACGAATTTTTTTAAGCGAAAACCGTGCATAGGATTGAAATAATCGATCATTCAAATTGACCTACGCAAATTTCTAAAAATTATTGGATATTTCAAGAGTACTTTGTATTTTAAGGGAAATCACTGGAGTATCATCAATTTCTGTCAAAATAGGCAGGTGAAATTCCGTAGGAACGCCAATGATGGAAATTGGAAGTGGCATTTTAATATATCAATCATGAATGATTTGTTTTTGTAAACTTTAGCACCCTGGTTCAGGTGTTTGGAACATACATTCATATGAAGTTTT